AGAATATATATATATATATATATATATATATATATATATATATATATATGTGTGTGTGTATATATATATTGCAGCCCTTCCTCCCGATTTATGTGTGTGTGTGTGTGTGTGTGTGTGTGTGTGTGTGTGTGTGTGTGTGTGTGTGTGTGTGTGTGTGTGTGTGTGTGTGTGTGTGTGTGTGTGTGTGTGTGTGTGTGTGTGTGTGTGTGTGTGTGTGTGTGTGTGTGTGTGTGTGTGTGTGTGTGTGTGTGTGTGTGTGTGTGTGTGTGTGTGTGTGTGTGTGTGTGTGTGTGTGTGTGTGTGTGTGTGTGTGTGTGTGTGTGTGAATGAGAGTGTGTGAACGAGAGTTACGGACCGGTTTATCTCGCTAAAAGTCGTCCATCACTCTACGAATATATGTAAAACGTATGTGTCATGCGAACAATGGAATCTCGAAAGCGGAAGCGAATGCCTACGAGCGTCGGATGTTAGGATATAGAATATTGGATCCCCACCGAAGGCCTTCATCGGGCTTTCGCTGATCGAACTGGATCATTTTTTTCGCGAAAAATCGCCGAACTCTCGCGCGAAGATCCGATACGCACCGCGTGCCGCGCATGCTTGCGTGTGCGTGGCCGCTCGCAATATTAATTAATTAGCGCGTACATTGCGCGCGCGCGCGTGTGCGTGCACGCGTTGCACACACATCCACGAAAAAATTCGTATATTAATTATTATTATCCATTATAGTTATGATAGTATAATGATTATTATTTGTACAAATTTTATGTTGCAATATAAAATAAACGATGAAGCGACGATCTTGCGTCTTTAATTCTGTTGATCTTGCTCGCTTATTTATCACAAATTAGAATTTACAGTTCATCGGTCTTTGCCACAAAATTACAATGAAACACATTTAAAAAAAATATTGTTTCAAAACTTTTAAATTGGCTTTGATCGATTTTTTGTTTTAAAATTTTTAAATTGATTTGGACTTTTAGATTGATGTGTTTTGCATCTGCTTCAAAATTAAAAAAAAAAAATTTATTTCGATTAATCTATTAGTTTATCCATTTGCGAATTTGTAATCATAATCTTTATAAAATTTTAAATATTTATTTCTCTTGAGATTACCTGAAGCAAAAAAATATCGGCGCCGAGATTTATGGAAACTCGAATTCCAGAATCCCGCGTGCGATTTATATCCACAAGGAGAGCAAACTATCGAGAGGTGACCTCGTACTTACATCGACCTCGACATCGAGACATCGACCCGAAGGACTCGATAGGCGCGAGTTTGCGCTCTATCTCGGGCAGCTTACTCCCACCTACGTGTTCAATAAAACGCTCGAGGTCTTTTTATCGCGTACGATATTCGTGTTTTCCTCGCGGAAACCGTAGCGATACTCTACGCCTCGTGACGCGAACGGCCGGTGAAAAATGCGCGAACGGCTATATCGCCGAGAACAATCGATAATGGGTGAGATGCGAGTTTTCAGTGGCACGCGCAAACCTCACGATGTAACGTGTAATAATATGTTGGCGGTGCTGTCGAAATGCGAGAGAATCAGGTAAGAGAGTGCCTAATACGAGGTGTAACGCTTTTCCACATCACGTCAATTACACGGCACGTTTCCGACGTGTTACGAAATAATACTAGGCACCAAAGCGCATGATCCTACTGAACAGGTTCGTGTAATCTCTTCAAGATTCTGACGGTGATTCTAATTCATTATGATCGTAGTAATGTTACACAGCTAATGTATTAGATCGTAACGCATCGAGCCTTCTCGCGTTCTCAGTTCAATCGCGAACATTTATCGGATATTATAAGTAATGATAGATAAGACCCGATTGTTAAATATCTCTCTCTCTCCTTTTCTTTTTAAGAAATATTTATCTATTTGTATTATTTAAATATTTTATGTGTACAATAGCCAAATTCTTATATTTTGCTTTGACAGCTGTAGAATAAAATAAAATAAAAAATGGCACCAATCATTTTTATAGTAAATTATAATAAATATTAAGATGTTGAGGATAATAAAATATTGATGATTTAATACAATAGGATATAAAAAAAATTATTTTTTCAATAAATTAAAGTTGACTGATTTTTAACTCGCGATTTGATATAGACGCGACATATCTACTTTTGACGAGAATTGTTTATAAGTTTAATATACCGAGGAACGCTCGTCTCTCTGTGTATTGCTTGCCCTTGAGGTATCCCTCAAGATTGATTTTCCAAGGCACAATGAAAGGTAACGGCGCGAACAGGCACCGGCTTTCCAGTCGCGTGACCGACATCACCACGTGGAACATTAAATTGCTATTCCGAATTCTTGACCGCATAATTAATTGGCGCTTAAAAAAACATTACGTGTAACCTATGTGAAAAAAAAATTGTGCCAATACTCTGTGCTATTCATTCACATCGGGGTACCATACCAATAATACGTGACTCGACGGATAAGAGACAAATGTAATTTCAAGGCTTGCAATAACAACGATGAATCGAGAGGAATCGAGAGCGACAAGAATATATCGTACTTGTCAACCATGATGAATACCGTACCGAGAAAAATACTGGCATTATGTTAATTGTAATCCAAATGCTATTGCGACGATATTTCGACGTTTTATCGTGTTGTGTTAAAAATATATCTCGAGTATTCGTGAACTCCCGTTTCTTTACATTTGTTACGAACGTTGCGTCCACGAATGTCTGGAATTCAGCCGTGTCCTACAGTCCAAACATTGTTTATGCATCAAAACGTAAGCAAAATTTTTTTTTTGTTAATCCGGTATAGAAACATGTTTAAAGGTACTTATAACATTCGCTTTTAAATATTCGACCTCGTTAGTGAATATATTATATAATTATAAATTTTAGATCTCCTTGATTTTTGATTATTTTAAAAATATATTAATTTCATGCACTCGAAACTTATTGTTTCTAATCGAGGAAGAAATTATCGCGACATTTTCACGTGTAAAAATTTTCACTTTAATTTTTTTTCTCCCATGAAAAAATTACGCGATCGATCTCGAATTCGAGATAATAATAGTCGCCAATGACACCAACGTGTCCTAGTAATAACAAATCGATATTCCGCATATAGAAATATTCAATCAGTGTTCAGGCGATAGCATTGTTTAGTTACCGCGTGATATAAGGTTATTAATATTAGAGCTGTCAATATCCGATTACGCAACGATATCTCTGAAAAGTATCGAGTTAATCAGTTATCACGGTAATTCAGTCAATTATATTCAGCTGGTATCCATTCATATTTTTTTCTTCATGTTCTTTCGTGATATGAATATAATTTATATAATGATTTAAGATCCATACATTTAAAGTCAGAGAGATACAATAGTCTAATTTTGAATTTTAATTAAATAACGCAAAGATCGTGTTCATATCATGTCAACGCAATATAAGAATTAGATTGCCACATTTAATAGTAGAATTATTTAATAGTTCTTAAATAATCTAGATTAATTATCATTAACAATTACACACCAGTTGGTCCCTTTTTTCTGTTTCACTAATTAAATGCCAATCAACCTTATCCAATATTTATAGGGACGATTCTATCTTCAGCGCAAATATATATGATTCAGTTAATCAGAGTGCTTTAAGCTAACGTTGATACGAATGGTTGAAAATACGCGATTGCTAGTCATCGAGTCGATCAGGATGACGAGCTCACGAGGTGGTGAGCTCACCCAGCACCGTGTTTGCTTTCGCAGCAACCAGCACGCAGCGAGAGAGTCAAAGCGACGACGACGACGCCGTGATCGCGGATGCCGCAACTCTCGATTATCGACCACGGATGCACGCCCGCCATGGTCAAGGCGCAGCCGCGGCCCAGGCGCGGTCGCCGCGATCAAAGCTGTCGGACTTCTTCCACCTCTGGGTCAACAACATCCGGCTGCTCTACTGGGGCTTAGACGATCTGGCCCCGCAATCACCCGAGGGGATGGGCAATCTGCAGAGCGACAGCAAGAAGAAGCAGAAGAGGCGGGAGATCGCGGCAGTGCCGACGTCCACATTCACGAGGGAACTTGAGACCGTCGAGGACCAGAGGAAGGATAAGCGGGACCAACCGCCCAAGACTCCCGATGGGTGCGACGAGCCGCGTGAACCGATCAAGATCAGCTTCGAGAAGGTGCAGACGCCGGGGCACACCAAGAGACCGGCACCGCAGCCACCGAAGATCGTATTATCCCAGGTAGCGTTTTTTTTTTTCTTACGTTCAAGTCAACGGAACTATCGATTGGACGAGAAATCTTTTCGACGATATTACGCGTAATTTGAGACTGCGTATATTTAAAAAATTAGACATACGTTAATAAAATAAAATAAATATAATTAATAGAAATATTGAATATTAAACAGAAAAAAATTTCCAAAGCGTTGCATGCTTATCTTTATCTCAAATCACGGTGTACGTAGTACGGTTATAATATAAAAACGTCTTGTAATTAGGACACGGAGAAAAGTATAAAGCCCGAATGTCACAAGGATACCGCAATAACACCGAAGTCATGCGTGACTACGACGGAGTCTTTCCGCTCGAGTATCACGACGCCGACGACGGCGTCGACACCAGTGCAAACCCCGACGACACCACAGACCCAGCTACCACCATTACTGGTAACCGATTCGTGGCGTTTGGCAAACAAGGGCCTAGTCGTTACGGAAATGCCAACGCCGCCTAGCCAGGAATCCTCGAGCGACAGTGTTTTCACCGATCCCGGGGAGATCACGAGTCCGATCACGGCATCCACGAAGGCACAAGTGGCGAAATTGGAGCTTGAATCGCCTCTGAAGATGATCGACAGCAAGGAGGAAAAGAAAATTCCGTTTGTGATCTCGAGACACAAGAAGATCCACTTGTCAATGCTGAGTCCCCGAATAAGTGAGGAATATTTTACTAATTTTGTAATTTAACACGTTACTCATCTTCTTACACAATTTTACCGAGTGATCAGCTTTTAAAAAATTAAATAAGTCGTTGACGACTTATGTAAAGCTTGAGGATTCTGTGTAGGTTGAAATACGAATATAGCTTGTATAAGTGATATTGTTTAAGAAGAGCCTAGAGAGAGCCTAGTGTATTGGACCTAAGTCAACATAGCATATGCGTCTCTGATACTCGATGTCTTAAATGAGCATATCATTTTCAGGCGTGACGTTAAATAACAAGACTACGCCATCAGAAATGAATGCCAGCACTCTGCAGAGACGACACAGTGTCTACGAGTCGCCAGTGAACGAAGGTACGGTGCTAAGAAGAGTGGCCAGCTTGACCCTGGATAGTAATAGCGCCAAGAAGAAGAGAAGTTCCAAGAGTATCGTTACTCAGAAGACGGATCGCCACAAGCAATTCGAAGGTGAGAGATAAATGATAAGGGGGGCAACGAATGGTTGAAATTCTCGCAATTTCATCAACCTTTTCAAACTAAACGAAATAACTTTTCAAAAAGCTTTTTGAAGATCTGAATTATTTTTCTGACTCTGCACTTCGAGAATTCAGGGCGTAACGATGATTTCACCGCGATATAAAACACTTTTATAACTATAGTATATGGGTCAGCGCACGACCTAGAGTGTATCGCTCTAGAACGATCGCGAATCTTATCTCATGACGGAAGAAAAGGCGCGCGATAACGTTACGGAGGGTAAACACACGGCTGCGGCATCTCGTTTTTTTATCCTCTATTGGAATGACGTAATTTACGAGACGCTCAACAAATCGCAAAGTATCGCAAAACCGATAGATAACAGATCATGACGGGTTAATGCATCGACAAGACAATCGCCGCCTTTCATCGGCGCGGCGCTATCGCGATTGAAAATGTTTTCAACCGGTCACCAAATAATCATCGTATCACACATTGGCGTGACTGAAGTTAAAGCGAACGATGTATTAATGTATTAATCAAATGTGCTTGTTTGCCGATAAGTCTTATCGATGGGGCGTATGCGGGGTTAGGCTCTCAGATTTGTGCTCGTGCTCTCCCGTGTATTCGCCCATCAACGAGATGTGGCAGTTATTTGCGGAGCAGCACAGAGTGAAATACATCTCCGGGACAAGAGCGACATTACACAAAATGAGGAGGTGTCTAGCGGATGTACGCGGAATCGAAGAGCAATTGCGAAAAGAAAACGAATAAGCGTTTACACGTGTATGTGTTTCCGATGAAGAGAAATCGAATTAAAATATCAATTCTTTTAACCGTATATAATCGAGGAAGAGTGTACATGACACTAAAAATTCAACAGCCTTCTCCGAAAAGTAGGTATTTTTTTTTTCACCCGTGCTGTTACTATTACTTCAATGATGATCGCAGATAATTTTAGAATTTTAGATATATATTTCATATATTTTTATTTATATGTATTTATATTATTTTTGTATATAATATTTTCTTAAAAATCTCATTAATGATGAAATGATTAGATAAGATAATCTAAAAGAATTTCTCGTTGGTTGAGTGATAAAAGAAGATAAGAATTACACAACGATAAAGAATTGTTTTGTTCTCAGAACATGCATCATTAATTAGGGTTGATTATATGTTCATAGAGGTACAAGTGTCGTTAATCCTGCTAATATAAAGCTTAACTTGAGATAAAACAGTTGCTCATTCGGGAATTGTTTAGAGCTTGCCAAACGATGAAGAGAACATATCTAGATACAATATTCGCTCAGTTTTCTTGTGAATTTAACAAAAAAAACTACTTTTCTATAATAATCACGTATAATAAATGGATGTTCCAGAACAAGAACTATCAACATCTAAGATCACTGCGTTATCAGGCAAAAGTGTGAAGAAAAGCATCACGCCCGTGGTAAAATCTTGATCTATTTATTAATTCGATAATGTTTTATCCGTCGTGATTTTTTATTATTTATTTATTCTTATAACGTTCTATTTTAATCAGATAGATCGGACAGATACCTGTGTGCTGGCGGATGAGTTTCGTTCAGCTCAAAGTAAATCGAGCCAAGCGTACGGTGAACAATCCATGCCTGAAGATATACATAGATATGAGGAAGAGGTGAAGAAACTGAGAGATGAAATCAAACGACTGCGCGAGATATCTATAAATCGACAGAAAAGTACTAAAGGCCAGTCTACTCAAACGTCACCGAGAAGCTCGTCACCTATCGATGGAAGTGCTAGAGAAACAAACAACTTCAACAGAGAATCCTCGATCAGAAGTGATATTGTTGCAGATCTTGAGGAAAGCAAAATGACTCGCGTGCTTTCCCCCGCATCGACCGACAAAGTCGGGAATCGGTCGTGCTTATCGCATCAGGTAAACGCGTTAAATGAGCACTTGGCACCGTTGCCACCTCCACCTCCACCTCCACCTCCACTAGTGGAGTCATTCTCCAAGAACAGATCTACGTCTATCTCAACGACATCGTTGCAGTCCTTCATCCCGCCACCTCCGCCGCCGCCATCTCCACAAGTGCTCGCATCCGAATCGGCGCAAGGTAGCGAGAGGACGGTTTCATCATCGGCGCCAAAACTAACGGATATTTCGAGGATACCATCACCGCCACCTCCGCCCATATTGACGCAAAGTATCACGAATACATTTCCACCCGCGCCTCCTCCGCCACCTCCGCCACCGCCTACGCCGATGTTTAATACAACGATACCTCCCCCTCCGCCGCCGCCTATGCAAACTATCATAAGTGCGATATCCCCGCCGTCTCCTCTGCAGAACGCGGTACCTCCGCCACCACCTCCGCCAGCGCCTCCGTCCATGCCAGTGCAGAAAGTCGACAGTGATATACCTCTTCCGCCACCACCGCCACCACCTATGCCTCCTCAGGGTATCACGTATGAATTATCCGCATGTATGAAGATCGAGATACCTCCGCCGCCACCGCCGCCGCCCACGCCGATGTTGAACACGTGCGGGGTACCACCACCGCCGCCTCCCCCGCCACCTCCGCTTGCATCGATGACAGGTGGACTGATTAACGCGGTACCGCCACCACCACCGCCGCCGTTACCTGGAACGCAGAGTTCTATGAATGGTCCACCGCCTCCACCGCCGCTACCGGGTATGCCAACGCTAAACGGTATACCTCCTCCGCCACCGCCTCCAATCGCGGGATCAGTTGCAGGTCCTCCACCACCGCCGCCTATGGCACCCCCGGCACTTCCGGGGGCGACAGGACCCTGTCCTTTACCCGCTCCACCAGTCGGAGGATGGAATCCGCCTAGCAGAGCCAGTAGGTATCGAAATTACAAAAATACAGAGTACTCTCGATTCTTTTCATTATCTCGAAATAATCGAGAGTACACTGTACAATCCTTCCGCGGCGGGATTCCGATATTTGCATCGCGTAACACAGTGTTTTACTTTTATAGTTATGAGGAAAGAACCTTTGAATCCTGATGTGCCTATGAAGCCACTATACTGGACAAGAATTATAGTGCCAGTTACTGCGACTAGTCAAACTTCCGTTGCTTCAGAATCGCCAACCCAGGTAAATAAAAGGCAGAGATTATAACGCGATAAAATTAACAATTAATATAAATAGTGATTATTTTAAATGCGTTGTCGTGTTTTCATACTGTCTTATCTAGGTGCCTTTGTGGTTAGAACTCGCGGAGGAAGAAAATATAAACATGAAAGAGTTCGCCAATTTATTTTCGCGGCAAGTGAGACAAAAGAATCTGGTCAAGAAAAGCGAAGAGACATCGAATAAAAGTTCTAAGATCCAACCAGCGAAAATATTAGATTCGAAACGTTCGAAAATGGTGGGAATTCTTGAAAAAAGTCTGCATATTGATTTTAGCGAGATCGAGAACGCGGCTTATAATTTAGATACGAGCGTAATTAGTTTGGAGACGCTGCAACAGATCTACGAAATCGTGAGTAAACAGTATGATTAAAAATCTAAATACAAAATTCAGCACATGTAGTTGATTTTTCTTCATTTCTGAATACAATTAATTTCCATTACACATCTATAATCGCGTCTACTTTGACGTTTTGCAACCTATAGAAACCTACGGAGAAAGAGATAGCAGAAATCGCTGCTCACGAAGCAGAGTATCCGGATATTCCTATTGATCAGCCGGAATTATTTCTCAAACGGTTATCCGGCATAAAGCACTTTTCCGAGAGGATAGCCTGCTTGATGCTTCAGTCGGAATTCCAAGACGCGATCTCGTCGGTCTCGTATAAATTGAATAACGTACGAACTACCTGCGATTTTTTGATGCAATCTGAGTCTTTGAAAAAAGTGATAGCCATCATACTGACTCTGGGAAATTACATGAACGGCGGAAATATGATGCGCGGCCAGGCTGACGGCTTCGGTCTGGAGATCCTTGGTAAACTGAAAGATGTAAAATCCAATGTACCCGGTGTCACCTTATTGCACTATGTCGTCAATGCGACATTATCTCTGGAAAAAGATCATAACTTTGACGAGCCATTAGCACTACCCGTGCCTGAGCCGGCTGACATCGAGGCCGCATCTACAATCAAGTTTGACGATATTGCCAAGGAACTTGACAGATTGGAAAAGGAACTGCAGAGTAAGTGATATTAATAATGTTACGCCGCTTAAAAATTTTATGATTATATTTTTTTATCTGATATAATCTATAAATTCTTTTTATTTTTTTTATAGAATTAATATATATACTAGCTATTTATCGATAAAAATAGAATTTATGCCTTGATTTAAATTTCGTAGACATATCGAATATAATTCTATATCAATTTTGTAGAGTTACGTATATGAATATGTAAAGATATTAATATAAATGAAATTAATTTGTTTTAGTATGCGCGCAAAAGTGTAACACCGTCGTGGAAGCGGATCTAACTATGTCCAAAGTGTTCAAGGAAAAAGTAGACTCGTTTATGGCGAGGGCGAGTATCGAATTGGCAAACGAAAAAGAAGAGCTATTGGAAGCTAAAAACAGATTCAAGGCCGTAATGCGATTTTATCAGTTCATTCCCAAAGGCGCCACACTGGAGACCGCGGAACCTTACGATTTCTTCAACCTGTGGCTTGGTTTCTGTCGAGATTTTAAGGTACATTTTGCAGCGTTCGCGGAAATACGCAAGTGAGTCGATTATGACAGATTTTGTTTTACAGGATATTTGGAAAAAGGAACAGCAGCGAATACGAAAGGAGCGAATGGAGGAAGCTCGCAAGAAGCTTGAAAATAAATCCGATGTCGTGAGAGTAAAATTAAATCCTCACGGACTAAAGGCGCGATTACAAAAACTGGCGACTAAAAAGCAGACTCAAAGATAGTCTTATCGGAATATGCAGAAATTGATAATTTCAAAAATGGGGATTTTTCCGCCGACGATTTGTATATAATTATTACTAGTCAAATTATGAATTTCATAAATAATCCTCTCGCGTTTAATATAACAGCCTCCATTAATTGTATATTAATTTTTTACTTATATTGTTTTTTTTTGTTATTTTTGAGCTGAATCGGAAATGATAAATTCGCGAAATTTGTTTTCAGGACTACAAATTTTACTTTCAAAGCGAAATGAACTGCTTTGTGCAAACTATTAGCTTATATACGCAGAAACTTAAAAAAATCTATTTTGCCTATAAATATTTATTATAACCGTGCATTTAAAATCACGATAGATTAAAAGTCACTTTTCAGGAGCAAATCTTTAATTGCTCAAAATTAATAGGATAATTTTCGATTAAATTTAAATTAATTTTTATACAAAAATATTAAGTACATACATAAATTAGAAGATATAAAATTCATGCAACGAAATGCGATCTCTTACAATCTAAATACGATGTGGATTGTCAATCGCAAATGTCTTTAAATAATCAGTCGATGAGATTTGATCTATGATACGTAAATTATAGCTATTACAGACTGAAATGTTAACCGTACACTAAATCTAATGTACATTTCAGTAGAGAGAGATAATTTCTTGGAATTTATTAATCATTATTATCGAGCATAATTAATAACTTGATAGCAGCTTTACAGGCATCACTTACGGACATGTTTCAATCGCTATATCATTCTGAATGATTTAGCAAATGCATATTATCGATGATTGGATTTTTTTAATAGAAGAAAGTTATAGATATAAATTCCGTTCTTTTTAGCTGCACTTTTCCGCATTATTTGCATTTAATACAAAGTACGCAAGCTTGAAAAAAGAGTGTAAGAAGTTCTAAGAAAGAGGAACTAAAGATAACATGCCTATAGACATTATAAACATTTGTGATAGTTTTAAAAGAGAGAAGTTTTGTGTCTCTTTATAATATACACTCATCCCGAAAATTTTTGTTATTCTAATAGAAAAAAATCGTAATATGACTATCGATCGTGATATTTGTCATTAAATCATTATCTATTTATTTATTTATTTATTTATTTATTCATTTATGTTAATTTATATTAGATTGTCATCAACAAATAATAATGTAAATAGAATGTTAATAATACGAGATATTGATATTTAATAAAAATCTTTTATATTTTTCTTTTTTAAAAAGAAAATCGGAAAAGATATATTATCCTTTTGCCTAGCATAAAAATAATATTAATATCTCGATATTTATAATGTTTATCGTATCGCCTAATTATGTAAAAGCGTTATCAAGAGAAATGAATTTAAAAAGACCGAGTTATTATTATTTTGGAAATATTAAAATATATAAAAAATACAATAAGAATTAAATATTAAATATAAAATAATGAGAGAGTCTTATCACAATATATGTATATATAGACTATTAATATCTATACTTTATACAACTCTGCCTTTTTATATTCTCTGAAACATTCAACATGTAAACGATAATTAAAAAATTTATGTTGCTCTGTGCGTGTATCCAGAAATATAACTCTCTCTCTATTATAAAGAATGCGTTTTTGTTCCCCGACATTAAAAGGACATTAACAATCTCGTATCAATTATTTTAATTAACCCGCTTATGCGTATTAATGCGTTTCACATTTCACGCTTTAATGATACTTTGTGGTATTACAAATAATTCTCATTTATGTGCATAGAAAATGTTTCATAATATAAATATAAATTTTTAATAATATTATGGGCATGAAGAGATTTATAAATATTATTAAAGATCCTTAGTAATAGAAAAGGTTCCATAACGCTCTAATGAATTTCATAATATTATTCTATCAACAATAATAAGTACAGGTAACCCATTTTAATCTATAAATCAGTATATCTTGGAAATGATTGAGTTAAAAACATTGAACATATAGGTGTTGAAGGAGTTCGAAGGGGTTAGAGTATCGCAGAAAAAAATTAATAGGTGGAGGAATCTTGGAGATCTTAAGGTCATCACGGTTTTTTTAGATGGGACTTAATACATTTTTTACTGTATAATGAAAAAGCGTGGCGAGACCACGAGTGGAGTCCCCTTTTCTCTCTATTCTCTCGATTACTATCTCTTTCGCTTTAATTTTATTTCAAAATATTAATATAATAAATATATATAATTAATTAATTACGGTATCTCTTTTAGTCTGACTCTTCCCCTTCGACCTGTCCGGCATGGGTGACCCTACCGTAATTTAAATACAGCAGTCCAAGAAAAGAGGCCGGCGATGTTCAATAGGAGGAACATCATACTGCATCATGATAATGCTAGGCCACATGCTGCTTTGGGGACTCGTCAAAAAATTGCAGAACTAGGCTGGGGAATTCTGTCGCATCCACCATATTCCCCGGACTTAGCACCCTCCGACTATCATTTGTTTTTGTCCTTACAAAATTTTTTGAGGGGCGAGAAATTCAAAAATGAAGAAGATATCAAACAAGCACTGGTTCAATTTTTCGTATCAAAAGATAAAACATTTTTCGAAAATGGGATATGCAAATTGCCCTCACGCTGGCAAGAAATCATTAATAATAATGGCAATTACATTATTTAATAAAGTTTATTGACGGTAATAAAAATTTGTATTTTGTTTTATTCCAAAAACGGACAGAACTTTCCGGTCGACCTAATATTAGCGTTTTCGAGTGAAGCAGGTTTGATCGCTTTGAGAGCAATTAAATCCATTTTGTCATGAATATATGTACAACCAAAAAGTAGTGTATGTCGCCTTGTAGGTTTCGAGAGAATCTGATTAATATAAATATATATATATAATACATTAATAACATAAATAATATAAAGTTCATGCCCCCCGCTTTTGACGTTATTTTTGCTTTAAAGCACAATATTTTTTGTCCTGATTAAAATCAAACTCTTACTCAAAGTATTTTATTAATTAATCTAATAATTCAAGTACCTTTAATAATACAATAATCCATGGAATATATGACATCATTAATCGGTCTCAGAACGATCAAACCTGTTTCACTCAAAAATGCTGTACGTTACGGCCGGCATAGCTCTCAGGTTCATTAGAGTACTCAAACCTCCTCACCCGGCAAATGCCTTCGTTAAGGTGGAGATACCATCGAGGAGGAAAAATGTGTGAGGACAGTTTTCCTCTTTTTCATTTCACAGGGTTAGAATTTATTTTATTTTTATTTTTATTCTAATATAAACTCTAATATAAACAAAATGATACAATAAATTTAATATACAAAATACAATACAAAATATAATCTAACATTTAATATAAAATAATTTATTACATGGCATTACACGAGAATATCCAAAATATACGTATAATAAAAAATTTATTAGAAATTTTTAGACTTGACAAAACTTTTTG